GCTAGAGCTGGTAACTGGCCATGTACAAGATTACAATAATTACAAAGCGCTATCCAACTACTAATTATTATAACTAACCCTTCTTCCTCCAGAAGTGCTAAAATTTACAAAAGTTTGACAACTTTTACAGCATCATAGAAGGACCTAGAGTAGGAAAAACTTCAAAAAATAACCAAGTGGAAACACGATTGGCAGGAAAAATATATTGCAAATTCCAAGCTGCTCCTACATTGCAATTGTAGATGACTTCAGAAATAAAATGAACTACAATAAACATCAAGGATACTCATCAATTATTTGCAAAACTTTCGTGTTGAGAACATATCAAATGGTAACATTAAACTCTTTTGATGAAGATAGCCAGTGCTAGAAGGATAAGGTCATTTCTATGCACTTACGACATTATTTCAAGCGATTATAAGAGGAAATTAGGGCTTCTATGTGATATTGTGACAATGAACTCACACCTGAACAGACAATATCTAATCTATATTGCAGCGGGTGTCATTTTTTTGTTTCCCTCAGGGTTCATGCACAATTGCAAACACTGTTACAAGAAGCCATTCAAATAGGTTTAACTTTAGGCATAAGCATCTTCATCTATAACAGTTCTGCAGAAACATGCAATAACCCTGATGTTAACAATTAATAATCTTTTTAAGCAACATTCTATCAATCCTTTACTTTTACTAATAGCAATTAAAGGAGAAGACATCAATTAATTGACAAACCCAGAGAAGGAAAACCAAGACAGAGTAAGGCAATCTCCTAAAACTAAGGATGCAGAAAAACTTTTGGGAACAAAAATGGTTATTATATCATCTCCCCATCTAGTGACTTGACAAGGGTGTACTACACACAGCGCCAAAACCAGAACTCCAATAGAACCACGAAATGACCACTTATTTAACATTGGGGAAAAATAATATACAGAGTTCCTCTAAATGAATCTTCAAACAATTAATCAGATAGGGAAAAAGAAAAAGAAAAACAACTTACAAACTCTAACCAACACTGGGACAGGAAGAACAAAAACAACTTACAAACCCTAACCAACACTAAGACAGAGGAAGAATAACCATAACAACCCTCCACCAGCATCCAATCAGAATGACTTAGCGGTATATAAAGACTTATCGTTTGGAAGGACAAGAATTCAGCACACTAGTAGGTGAACCCGAAGTGCAAGTAGAATTCCGGGTACCAACATGATGTTGTTTACTAGTTTTCATGGCATGTACCTCTAACTGCCTGAGCGTGTCGATGAGGAGGCACTGCTTCTGCTTGAGCAACACCAGCTGGTTCTGTAGCGCTGTGAACTCGCTCCGCATAATCTGCTCGCTGTCTTGTATAGCCGCCTCGCTCACGCCCTCATCCATCAGCCGCTTTCTCAGCTTCTCCGTAGAGATCGTAATGTTGCAAGTAGGAGCCATCAGCTCGCTGTTGGATATCCTCGGGAACATGTCTTTTACCGCCTGCAACGCCTCCATCCAAGCGACGCGATCATCGCGTGTTTCCGCACGCAAATGGAGCCTCTTCGTTCCAGTGAAAATCGAGAATCTCTTGTCATCTGATCTGCTCTCGCGGATTGAAGAAACCTACAAACATGTAACGAATTAAAAGAGGAAAACAAAGGCACATATGCCAAATTGTATTAACAAGACGGCAAAGAAGAAGAGGATGGAGAGGAATGCCGCAAGATCCTCAGTCAGATTTAAGAAAAACAAAAACAGATTGAATTGGAACCTTCTTGAAACCCCATAAAATAAAGAAAGATGGAGGAAAATAATCACAGACGAAAAATTGTCAAGCAATTAAAAACAATTCAGTTTCAAATAAAATCGAAAGAGAATCCGCTTCTTATTGTAAAAGGGGACGAATCGGATCAATGGATCAATTTCTTTTCTGTCCTTTTGAAATGGGAAACAGAGAGAAGTCGGAAAGACTAACCGGGATAAAAAAACGAGGAATGCAAATTCAAAGAAACACTGGATATTGCAAGACCAACCTTTAGATGGACTTCACCGAAGGGCTTGCGGCGATGTTGAGGATTGCCATTGACATGCTTATGTCTAGAGATGATCCGCATGGACTCGTCCCCGATAACTTTGGATCCTTTCTCAGTCTCGGGGCTAACGAAAATCTTATCGGGACCGTGAATCTTGTAATAGGACAATACACCGTCCTGCAAAACGAACCACCGAGGCCTCCATCCTTTCCCGTAATTGACCCACTTGTAGAGTATTCCAGATATCCCATTCCCAACGATGTCGTTTATTTTGACATCTACGGGAGGCTCCCTGCCAGACGCAGACGCGGCCGTCAAAGTGGAAGCCGAAGACAATCCTCTCTGACTCAGACGATTGGCATCGTTGTGGTTTAAGAAGTTGTTGGTGTTAGTATGGTGATTATGATTGTTGTTAGTGTAATTGAGATTAGAATGGGCGAATTTTTGGGAAGCAGATCGGGTGGAGACGGAGTCGGATCTGGTAGAGGCGAAGGAAGGGGAAGTGGCGGTGGCGGCGGACATGGGGATCGGAGACAGAAAGGGTTTAGAAGGAGAGTGATCGGATACGGTGGAGACGCAGCAGAAAGGATGCATGAGGAAAATTAAAAAGAAAGAATAGCCAGATCAGAATCGCTGACGTGGCGGCTGAAGAGGACAGTTATGGTGGGAGAGGAGGAGGAAGAGGAAGGCGAAGAAGAAGAAGAAGAAGAAGAAGAAGAAGAGAAGGGAGTTTTCTTCATTGTAGAGAATCAGTGAAACAGAATAATTCCAAAATGAGGCGGGGTTTGCGTGGAGTTTCTGGATAAATTTAATAACATATAAATATAAATTTAAAAAATAATAATATTAAGAAAACGGTTATTAAAAAAAAATTTAAAAAAGAGTTAAAACGGCGGCGTTGAGTGAGATGATGAGGTGGCAGACGGTAGAGAAAGTGGGTGAGGCCTAAGAGTTGATTTTTCATGTCCTGAAGATGCAACCAGAGGCGGTTGTTAGCCAGACGCTACTTCTGTCCTCCTTTACTTCATATTACTTTTGCCCTTTAATTTTGAATTTTTGGTAGCGAAGGCAACCAGAGGTGCTTGTCTGCGGGAAGGCATAGGAAACGTTAAGCCGCATCTATAATGAGAGTGCAACACGTGGCAATTCATTAAACGTAATATCCGTATATTCGGTAAACTTTGTCCGTGTTATATTTATATAAAAATTAGTTCCAAAAAAAAAAAAAAAGTTAATTATAATTTGTATGTTTTAATTAATTTGAGACATATTTTTAATTCTACAATTAAAATACAAATTAGAAAAAATATAAAAAAGAAATTACGATTTTCCTATTAATTACTGCTTATTCTTCATCATCGTCTTCGAAAACCTATCATCATCCGATTCATTGAATTTCAAGATCTCCTTTTTCTTTTCAATTTTATTAATGATTAATTTAATCTTAAAGTATAGTCAGAAAATAATTTTAAAATAAAATATCCTAAGAATATGAAAAGTTCTAATTTTCAAAAATAAATTATTTTTATAAAAAATTTCAAAGATTATAATTATATACAAAGAGATTATGGACCAAAAAAAAAAAAAAGAAAGAAGAGAAAAGTACTACCAGGGAATAAATGATATACATTATCTTCTTCCACATGGAATTATAGTATATGTATTTTTATTTTCGAAATTTAGACATTATGACATGTTTATATTTAAATTAAGTTTATATGTTATAAAAATATGTTTCAAAATTTATGAAATTAAAAAATAAAAATCTAAGACGTCAAAACCTTTACAATTATCATTACTTAATTCATGTTGAAAATCATTAGTTGTACTCTCTTATATATATACATATACATATATATATATATATATATATAATGTCATGGCCAGCTTAATCTGCGAAAAAAATATTGTCAAAATCAACAACATAAGATCAGCATTAAATTAATTATAATATAAGAAGGAGGAAGAAATTAGAATAAGCAGGATTTGGGTTGCAGGGTCAAACGATACGGCTAATCATGCATACGTCTAGCGTTAGACAAGCTCAAAATTGAATATACTTTGCACGATGCTCTTTTTTAATTAAAAATGCGATGGCCAGTTAAGCAATTACTATTTTTTATATTATATTATATATATATATATATATATGTACGTTAGTTGATTGTTAAAGAGTATTTTTTGAATTTTTTATATAAAATTTTCTTAATATAAGATTTTATATACTTAATTATGTAAATCTTAAAATACACAGTTTTGGTATGAATGAGCAAAAGTTAGGTGATTTAATTTTCAATAAAGTAAATTACTTAAAACAAAAGGGTATTTAAAATCCTAACTGTATAATTTTTTTTTTTTTTTTTAATAACATTACAACTGTATTAAATTTTAATTACATAAATTCATTTTAAACAAAGAGTACATGACGCGGTTGTTTTGTTTTGCAAACTGCATGTTACTACGTACGGTACACATATAATCTGTGTGTGTATATTCCATTTTTCATTTGTACGTTTGTGTAGGTACACGTGTGTATATATGTGTGTGTATATATATATATATGTTTTGCACATCGGTAGAAACAATATCGTATGTACAATACAAATGATTAGAAATCAATAATTAAGATACGTCTCTATCATAATTCCTAATATTTGATGAAAACAAAATGAAAATTGAAAAGATCCAACACATCAAAAGTCGATCACATAAACTAAATTATAAATTTGTACAAATTTGAAAGGACCCAAACATGGTAGAGGAAGAAGAATACGACATAACTAAATAAATAAATATTCCGTACCATTTTAGAAGGCCCGCCCCAAACAAGGCACAGCCAGCTGACATAACTATATAATAATACACCATTTTTTAAAAAAAGGTACCCGACATGGAAGAAGCTGTTGGCATAACTTAATGTCGACTGCTTCATTCAATTTATTTGCTACCTTTTTTATTGGGGGGGTTGAAATTTTGTTACCCACTTCGCATATAAATGAAAGCAGACCTGATATTGGTTGGGCCAAACGATGTCGTACGGTAACTACATGTAATGTCCTCATATCACAGGCAATTTTAATTTGTTCTCCTGTGCCATAAATTTTAAAAAGTTTTTAGTACACAATAAAATTACTAAGTCATGGCAGTAACAAACTGCAAACTGTATACCATAAATTAGGACAAACAAATGTAGATTATTACATTCACTTGCTAATACGATAATTTGCAAAAGAAAAAAAAAAATTAAAGCAATTAAATTTACAACATGGCCTGTAAAAAAAATTAACATTGTCAAATATTAGTACACCGTGAATAATAACGTAATTTGTTTTAATATATGTGGATACCACATAGATGACACGTGACATTCACGTGGACCTATATAAAAAGTTCGCTCCCTTCACCACACTAATCAAGCTATCTTTAAAGTGTTGGACGATGGGGAGTGCGTCCGCTTTATTGATCTCAACATAATGTGGGAGCTTCAATGTCTTGGATTGTTCCACAACATGGCCTCTCGGTCTCAACTAGATAATGACTTACAAACTTTGTGAGCTCGTTATGCTTCCTCCTTGAGTTCCAGTTGCTGGAGCACAAAATTAATAATATAACATATCTGAGTTAACTCGAGATGAGACTTAATGAGGCCACAATGGTTCACTGGATGCACCATTACTTATAGGACATGACTAAGAGCAATCTCCATAA